TGAACGAAAAAAAAAAGTGCAATTAGGCCACTGAACACTCTAAAAATGTGCAATTTCACCTGATTGCAGGTTACCCTCAATTTTAGCAGGTTATCTGCTTACGTGGCAGCTGAGTTGGCATTTTTTATAAATTTTAATAATAACTTTTTATTAAAAAAATTTTTAAAAAAATAAAAACCACTTTATTTTATTTTTTATTTAATTTTTTCCAATTTTTTATAAACATTTATTATTAAAATTAATTATTAAAAATTATTTAAAAATTATTAAAAATGCCAACTAAGCTGCCACGTAAGCAGGTAACCTGCTAAAATTGATGGTAACCTGCTATCCGGTAAAATTGCATATGTTTGGAGAGTTCAGTGGCCTAATTGCACATTTTTTGAGTGTTCAATGACCTAATTGCACTTTTTTTTCGTTCAGTGGCCTAATTGCATTTTCAGGTTACGTTCAGTGGCCAATTTGAACCTTATTCCAAAAAGAATTAATATCTGATATACATTCTAATATCTGATATACATTACATATATATGGTCGCATATGTTATCTTCTCATATCTCATTGAAAATCTATTTTTATTTTTTTTTAAAGAAGGATAAAAAAAAAGTTTGTTTTTTCAGCTATTAAATTTGAATATGTTTCAAAAATACATTCGAATGAGACAAAAAAGTGCATTTGGTGCTTTTAAGTTTTAACCTATGATGGTACAACTACCATTGATGTAGTGACTTATGTTGACATGTTTTTGCATATATGGAAACTAAGTTGGTTCCTCTCAATCTCTCTTCATATTGACAAGCTATAAGTGAACAAAAGTAGTTACAATTTTTTTTTTTCTTCAATTTGTGGGTGTTTGTCAATTAGTTAATAGTTGACCTGTTTAATTAATAGATGATAATTTATTGTGTTAACTTTTTAACCAAATGATAGTATTAGCTGTTTATAAAAACTAGTAATTCACCCGCGATACACGGAAAAAAATTATGTTATTATAAATATAAATAAAAAATAGAAAAACTAAAATATTTTAATTATTTAATATAATAATATTTTTGAGCTTCCATTGGTCAAGTATTTATTATTTTTATAGAATACAAAATTACAATTAAAATTATAATTTTGTATAGTTAATATAATATCTAATTATGTGCATATTCAAATAAACTTATAGAGATAATTTACATAATTACATTGATTTATTCTTAATTGTATTTCATCTATATTATAATTTTCATAATACACCAGGATTATGTGGTCCAATGGTACTCGGGTTGGACTTTCATTTGGAAGGTTGTGAGTTTGAGCCTCCTATAATGTAATAGAGCTAGTAGCATTCAAAAAAAAAAAATTTCACAATACAAATAATAACTAAGATAATTACATTTGGAAAGCAAATTTCAAATTTTGTATGTGTAAATTTAAACTCTAATTGAACACATTTTTTATATGATTATATAATATATAGCTATTTTATTTTTCAAAAGTATATTTTTTATATGATTATATAATATATAGCTATTTTATTTTTTAAATGTTGTGTTTTTTTTTTTTTTTTATAATAAAGGATGTTGTGGCATTAATTTTAACATTAATTATTTCCCAAACCATATAGCTTTATTATATAAAGGATGTGTTTCGTAAATTAGTTGATAATTACTTACATTTAAAATAACTTTTAAGAGTATGTGTGCATTTTCTTATTTTAAGCTTTAAATATAAGTTTTAAAGTAATATAAATTTATAAATAATAATAATTATTATTAGTAGTAGTAGTAGTTATTATTTTATTATTAATAATGCTATCATAATAAAAAAAAAGGTTAATAATAATTTAAATAAACATAAAGTAGTTTATAATAAATAAACATACCAATTAATACAATTATCTAAAATAAAGTTATTCATAATACACTAGGAATGACATCTAGATGCTATCAAACTAGAGGCAATGCTCTTATCACGAATAATTGTCATATCTCAGATTCTCATATCATCTTCACTTGGTGAAAATTAGCTTAAACATCTTGACAAATATCAGGAGGCATGAACTCTGAATCATTACAATGATTCTAAAAATATATATATAATAATTTATTTTTCATAGTCCATGAAAAGTATACTTCATATGCAAACCAGCAACCAAATAAATCAAAGAAAGCATAATGCATTATGCATTCTGCAGTTTGCATTGCAAATAATGATTAGATTTAAAAATATATATTAGACATTCATAGAAGCATATTAGTCTAATAAAAAGGACAATCCACAATTTACCGAAATAAAAGTTGGAATCATATATATCTAGCAAATTCTCTTTTTATATTGAATTTTTATAAAGCAAACTAATTCACTATATATGAAGTTCAATGAGTGCAAGTCATTTTATCAAGCAGTTCCATTGGCATTGAGTGATTTGAATATTATATGAAAAAATAATAAATTCAGTTTTAGAACACCAAAATATTTCTATAACGTAATCACATTAACATTGACACCATCAATCACCCCACAATCAAGCTAGATTAAAAAAAAAAAAAAACATATCACGATAACGGGTGGAGTCTAAGGCGAGGGATTTCACCTTTCGTGAGCAAGATCCTAAAAAAAAAAAAAAAGCTTATTATTAACATAGGGGCATCGGATGGCATATGTGAACCCAACTTACACTACCCAGGAAAACACAATCTGAAACATCTATGACATTTATGGCATACATATTTTCAACAAAAAGAAATTTAATAGTCCAAGAATCAATAGATAAATTAGATTCAAGTAAAAGAAAATCAAATTCAACTCGTACCAAAAAAAAAAATCAAATTCAACCCTAAAATCATTGAATAAACGAGCATAGTTACATATGGGTATTTTGATTAAAAAAAAAAAGAAAAAAAAAAAAAGAGAGCTATAGAAGGTGTACCTCAAAGAAGCAAGATGATTGAGAATCTCGGTCTGGTGCGGAAATGAGACCGGCGAGGAAACGATTGTGCGTAGCTTGCAAGAAGGAGGAGCGAGAATAATTTCAAGAACAACATAATAAAAATGCAAAACGCAATGGAAAAATACGGATTATAATAGCTTTTCACAAATCAACTTATTAGACCAATAAGTTGTTTTACCAAACACCACTTTTAACTATTTGACTAAGTCAAATAACTAAAAGTGGTCAAACCAGTTGGATTTCCAAACAGTCCCAATTGAAATTTGGATGGAAATGATTGAAAAATTCCATTGCAGACAAAAGAAAAGGAAAAAAAAACCATTGAAGACCTCTTTTCGTCTAGATCTATATGAAAATTGAAGAGTCACTCTCTATTGGTGTTAGAAAATTCGCTAATAGTTGTGATGGGGAATATACACCGGCCATACGGGTCGCCCTTCTGACCCGGCCGTCGTGCCCGGTCGTGTACACAAACGGGCACTTGCCCGTTTGCCCGACCGGTCCCCTAGCAGGGGCGCCTCCGGAAGGCCCCCAGGCGCTTGACCGGAGACCGGGATGTATGGCCGCCCGGGATGTGAGCCTGACAGCAGCAGAAGCCTCGCGCCACATGTACGGTCGCATGCCTGCCTCTCCTCCACCCGGTGCATGCGCGCCACGTGTCCGACATGCCGGGGGATCGGGCGCTGCTCCCTAGGACCCTTATAAATACTGCATTAAATGCTAGAGAAGAGGACTTTTGGATTAGGCTACTTACTAGATTAGAGAGGATCCCGGTCATCATATACGATCGGTCTATCTGTAACTCTATTGTAACCTACACGTATCAATACATTGTTATTTTATCTACATCATTTGGCACCGTCTGTGGGGACCGGTACAAAATTCGTGCATTGCTACTGATCCTCCTAACATGTATCCCTTCATGGACTTCCTCAACGCCTGCGGGGACGCCGACGACACCCAGCCTGACCTACGGGCCCATTTGAATGCCCGGATGGACCTGAACCAGCCGCCAAAAGGAGCATTCCAGCCTCCGGAGCCGGTCAGCATGGGACCAGCGGAAGCCGCTTACAGGGATATCCCGATGCAAGCTACGTACCAAGCTCCGGGAGTCTTCCCGGGGATTATGGACCCGGCGTACCAGTGGTGGGCCAACGCTCCGCGTTTTTACTCCCCGGCATACCCGCAGCCGCAGATGCCCGGGGTATACCCTCCGCAAATGTACAGCCCAGTCCACAACTACCGGATCGTTCTCCCTGCCTTCGGCCCGGGGGCGAGCGAGCATGACGGGGCACAGTCACCGCGGGGACCGCCGAACGCCCCTCCCGAGGCACCGCAGCCCCAGCGTCGACCGGCCCGCTCACGCCTCGGTTCGATCGACCGTTCAGCAGAACATGCTCCCCGAACAAGTACCTTCGACAGGCTGCAGCCGACGGGTTCCCCCCGGCGGAATCGTCCGGGCGGTAGAAGGGCGTCCCTCGACAGGTCGGCATCCAGCCGTAGTGCGGACTCGGACGAAGTGAGTTCTTCCCGAAGTTACCACCGACGCGACACCCAGTTGAATACGACGGCCGGCGTCCCGCGTGAGGTCATGGAGCAGGTCCGAGAGGAGTTCAACCGTTGGAAGCAGGAACAAACGGCACAAGTCCCGAGTCTCGACACCACGCTATTGCGAACTCCGTTCTCCAGTGAGATCATGCAGCAGCAGTACCCGATCGACCTCCGGGTCCCGGGGGCAAAGGATTATTCGGGAAAAACGGACCCAGAAGAGCATGTCAACTCCTTCTACGGAAACATGATCATGTTGGGCGTGTCCGACGCCGTCATCTGCCGAGCGTTTTTTTCAACGCTCTCGGGAAGAGCGGCCGAGTGGTTCAAGTCCCTTGATCCGGGCTCCATAACGTGCTTCGCCGACCTATCGACCAAATTTATCCGACGCTTCGCAATGTCTCGGACCGTTCGAAAGCATTTCACGCACCTCGAAGCCGCCAAGCAGCTAGAAGGGGAATCGTTAACCGATTTCCTGGTCAAATAGAAGAATGCCATCGGCGAAGTCGAGCCAATGGACGACAGGACAGCCATCAACGTCCTACATTACTCCCTCCGAGCGGGGACCCTGTATCAGGACTTCATAGTCCACCCGCCACAGTTGTATGACGAAGCCCTTTGCAGAGTCACCGACTACGCGAACGCAATGGAGGCAAATTCCGCAAAGCGACGCCAAGAGACGGGATCCACCCGGCGAGACACTCGTCCCGACCAGAAGCGCGGAGACCGTCAACAGGCCCCCCGGGACCTGTCCAGGCTCACCCGCCCGGTAACAGAGGTCCTCGATTATGCCCAGGGTTGCAATCTGATCCAGCTACCCGAGCCCGGGCGTGACGGCCGGGACACCTCCAAGTTCTGTGCGTACCACCGCAACCGGGGGCACACCACGGACGAGTGTCGGGTCCTGAAGGAGGTGATCGAAGACCTCCTGAAGGAGGGTGAGCTGACCCAGTTCACCGAGAAGAAGGACAAGGGGAAGAGATGGAAGAAGTTCTTCAAACGATCCGGCCAGGACAAGAAGGACAAGAACCAGGATCCCGAAGGCGAGTCCCGCCCCAGTGGCTCCAAGCAGGTGATACACGTGATTTTCGGCGGCCCAGAGGGCGGCGATAGCACAGAGGAGAGGCATAGGTGGTGCCAAAGCCTACACGTCGGACTAGTGGATGAAGCTCGACCGGAAAAGCGGTCAAAAGCCGAACCCATCGCCTTCACGGACGATGACCTGCCCCGAAATCCTGACCATGGGACCGAAGCCCTGATTGTCACGCTCGACATAAGCAGCGTGGACGTTCGAAGAGTAATGGTAGACACCGGCAGTAGCGTAAACGTCCTGTACTTAGACGTTTTCAAGAAGTTGAAGCTGGACGAGAAGAAGCTGACACCGGTCCGCACCCAGTTATCTGGCTTCACGGGGGCCACTATCGAACCGGAAGGTATGATCCGATTGCCTGTCGAGGTAGGAACCTACCCCAGGGTGTCAAAAGCAGACATGGAATTCATCGTGGTAAACCTCGCCTGCGTCCACAACGTGATCTTGGGCCGACCGGGGATCGCGCAAATCGGAGCGATCATCTCGATGCCACACCTGTGTATGAAGTTCCAAACGCCGGCCGGGGTTGGCGTGCTGAGGGGCGACATCCGGTTAGCCCGGAAGTGCTACGTCAAGGCAGTCTAAAGGAGTGAAGGCAATTCGTCCAGAGTTAATGCCATAGCAAACGAGAACAAAGCCTCGGCTAGGGAGCAGCCCGAGCCAGCGGAGGAGGTCGAAGAAATTCGGTTATCGGACCAGTTTCCCGAGAGGACCGTCCGAATAGGCGCAGCCCTACCGGCCGACCTGAGAAGTTCAATCGTAGAGGTCCTGAGGGAGTATGCTGACATTTTTGCCTGGGGACCACAAGACATGCCCGGAATATCCCGGTCCACGATATGCCACCGCTTGACGGTGGACCCCGCCGTACGGCCGGTCAAACAGAAGCAGCGACATCTATCGATCGACAGAAGAGATTTCGTCCGGCAGGAGGTCAAAACGCTGAGTTCAATCGGGCATATCAGGGGGGTCTCCTACCCGGACTGGGTAGCCAACATGGTTCTGGTACCTAAACCGCCGGCGTGGCGCATGTGCATCGACTACACAGACCTCAACCGGGCGTGCCCGCTTGACCCTTACCCCCTGCCGAGCATCCACCAGATGGTTGACGAGACCGCGGGATCTGAACTTATGAGTTTCATGGACGCCTTTAAAGGTTACCACCAGATCATGATGGCAGAAGAAGACGAGGCGAAAACATCCTTCGTCACACCGGACGGCCTGTATTGCTACAAGGTGATGCCCTTCGGCCTGCGCAATGCCGGGGCTACCTACCAGAGGATGATCAACATGCTATTCGAAGACCTGCTCGGCAAGACCATGGAGGCCTACATAGATGACATGCTCGTCAAGAGTCTCAGCCGGGAAGACCACGCCGGCGACCTCCAGTCATGTTTCGGAATTCTGCGTCACCATCGGATGAGGCTCAACCCGGCCAAATGCACGTTCGCGGTGCAGACCGGGAAGTTTTTAGGCTTCATGATGACAAAAAGGGGCATCGAACCGAACCCGGCCAAGGTCAAGGCGATCTTGGACATGCAACCCCCCGCTACGGTCCGGGAGGTACAGCAGCTGACCGGAAGACTAGCCGCACTCAGCTGTTTCCTCTCTAAACTCGCTGAGCGTGCGTTGCCCTTCTTCAAAACGCTGAGGAAGATAAACGCCTTCAAGTGGGATCAAGAATGCCAGGATGCGTTCGAGCAGCTAAAGGAGTATCTCATGTCCCCGGTCGTGCTATCAAAATCGGAGCCCGGTGAAGACCTGGACGTCTACTTGGGGGCGTCCGACAGAGCGGTCAGCGCGGTCCTTTGCCGAACTGACGAGAACAACATCCAGAGACCAGTGTATTAGTCAGCCATGCCCTGAACGGGGCGGAAACGAGGTACTCCAGGTTGGAAAAGGTCGTGTTTGCCCAATACATGGCTGCCAAAAAACTCACCCCGTACTTTCAAGGCCGAACAGTCCGAGTACTCACCGACCAACCCATCGGGTCTGTCATCCGGAGCTCCAGCTCATCTGGCCGACTAGTCAAGTGGGCTTTAATGCTAACGCAGTTCGCCCTAGAGTACAAACCCCGACCGGCGATCAAAGGCCAGGCGCTGGCAGACTTCGTAGTGGAATGTACGGCCAGGGAAGCCAACACGACGACACAGCCGGGCCTGGACGACACGTGGTAGGAACTGGCAACTGACGGCTCAAGCAACAAGAAAGGAGCGGGCGGAGGTGTAGTAATCACTAGCCCAGAGGGGTTCAAGTTGTACCACGCCCTGATCTTTTCTTTCTCCCCCACCAACAACGAAGCTGAGTACGAAGAGTTCATCGCCGGCCTTCGGTATGTCAAGAAGCTCGGCGCACAATACGTCCGAGCTAGAACGGACTCCGCTTTGGTGGTCGGGCAAGTTCTGGGAAACTTCGAAGCAAATGGAGACCGGCTGGTGCAGTATAGGAACAAGGCGTTGGCGATTCTTGCGGAGTTCGAAGGCCACACGGTCGAGCACGTCCCCCGGGCGGATAATGTGGACGCGGACGTCCTATCCAAGCTCGCCCAAGAAGCCCCCGAACACATTTCCAGAATAGCCCGTATTGAAGAAATGACCCATGCCGCCATTGACGCCCTGAAAGTCGCCCCGGTAGCCCCAACGGAAGAAAATTGGATCACAGACCTGATGCAATACTTAACCGACGGCCGTCTTCCCGACGACACAGAAAGAGCCAGAAAGGTTAAGCTGAGAGCGCCCCGCTTCCGTGTGATGGATGGCCGCCTGTACCGGCGATCATACGGCGGCCCGCTGATGAGGTGCCTGAACGGATTCGAGGCCGATCTAGTAATGACCGAGCTCCACTCAGGGATTTGCTCGGCGCACCACGGCGACAAGGCTTTGGCAAGAAGGATAATGCTCATAGGGTACTACTGGCCATCAATACAACTCGATTGCAAGAGGGTGGCCCGGGAATGCGAGGCAAGCCAAGTCTTCGCCAAAGTTCCAGGTCGACCGGCCACCTTTTACCAGCCCGTCAGCACGGCCATCCCTTTCGCTAGGTGGGGCGTCGACATAGTCGGCCCGTTCACCCGGGTGGCCAGTAGAAAGAGGTTCATCATTGTAGCGATCGACTACTTCTCGAAATGGGTCGAGGCAGAACCCCTGGCGACCATCACGTCGCAGCAGTGCGCCAGGTTCCTGTGGCGCAACGTGATCTCCCGTTTCGGGGAATATACACCGGCCATACGGGTCGCCCTTCTGACCCGGCCGTCGTGCCCGGTCGTGTACACAAACGGGCACTTGCCCGTTTGCCCGACCGGTCCCCTAGCAGGGGCGCCTCCGGAAGGCCCCCGGGCGCTTGACCGGAGAACGGGATGTATGGCCGCCCGGGATGTGAGCCTGACAGCAGCAGAAGCCTCGCGCCACGTGTACGGTCGCATGCCTGCCTCTCCTCCACCCGGTGCATGCGCGCCACGTGTCCGACATGCCGGGGGACCGGGCGCTACTCCCTAGGACCCTTATAAATACTGCATTAAATGCTAGAGAAGAGAACTTTTGGATTAGGCTACTTACTAGATTAGAGAGGATCCCGGTCATCATATACGATCGGTCTATCTGTAACTCTATTGTAACCTACACGTATCAATACATTGTTATTTTATCCACATCAAGTTGATAGTGGATTATGTTATTATTTTTGACCAGCACGTAATATTAGTGGTTGGTAAGGAAATGTTTGGTAAATGAATTATTTATAATTAACTTAGAGAAAATTGTAATTTATGTCCCTCACAAATATGTCAATTATCAATGTTACTCCTGAATTATTAGTGGGGTAAATGTTGTCCTTCAATTTTCAAAACGTGACATATATTGCCTCTTCCCGAAATTATTAGTGGTGTAAATGCAATCGTTATACCGTGCACCAGGGCGCACATAGCAATATGCACCCCACGCCTCCCAAAATGACGTCGTTTTATATTCTGTTATAAAATTCTGTTTTTTCTGGTATAAAATTCTGTACATTCGAAACAGGGAATTTTTATCCTTTTAAAAAAGATTATGTATTTTCAGGTATAAAATTTTGTGTTTTCTATTATATAATTCTGTACATTCGAAGCATGAAAAATTTCAGTTATAAAATTCTGTGTTTTAAGGTATAAAATTTTATGTTTTCCATTATATAATTCTGTACATTCGAAACATGGGAATTTTCAGTTGTAAAAATTCTGTGTTTTCAGGTATAAAATTCGATGTTTTCAAGTATAAAATTATGTGTTTTCAAGTATAAAATTCTGTGTTTTCTATTATACAATTCTGTACATTCGAAATATGAATTTTTTATTTTAAGGGGTTAACAGCAGACACACGAAAAAAATACAAAACGACGTCACTTTAGGCCAGGGTGCACAATGCATTGTGCACCCTGGTGCACAATATAATTTGCCGTGTAAATGTGGCTACTTGTCGTTTTCCCTATTCGAAAATCACGGTTTTTTCCTCTATTTTTCTTTCTTCATTTGTTCTCCTTCAGCTGACAACAATGTTTCTCCTTCTCCCTATTAGGGGAGAGACAATATATGTCACGTTTTGAAAATTGATGAGCAACATTTACACCACTAATAATTCAAAGGTGACATTGGTAATTGGTATATTTGTAAGGGGCATAAATTACAATTTTCCCATTAACTTATTAATTTTATGAATATGTTGATTGAATTTTTAAAAATGAACTAGGAATAGAATTATCTAGGGACTTACAATGTCTATATTACCATTATTCTTCTCCGAAAAGGTTGAACCCCCAACCCCGGCCGACTGAATATTTGAGAGGGGGTAAATCACAGTGACTCAATGACTCAGTAGACAGGATTAAAGGTCGGTACACACAAGGGATCTATCCACTTTGGGCATAATCCCCACTCCCTACCACTGAAGTTCAAACATTGATCTTCTCTCAAATACTGTCTACTGAACCTTTGAGCTAAGCCGGGCGGACAATATTATCATTGTTCTCATCCAGTGGCTTTGCATCAACAATATTTAAAACTTTTATTTTTTCAAATTGTCAATGTGTAAGGATATTAAAAATAGCAAACTTAGTATCATATTGAGTTTTTTTTTTTTTTTTTTTTTTTTTTTTTTTTTAATTTTTTTTTTTTAAAAAATACTTTTCATGTTTAATTTGATACCTTTAAGTGTTATAAAAAAGTAATAAATTAAGAGCTTATTTTACCCTTATATTTTTTCAAATTATGTTCATATAAACTCTGTTAATGAATTGAATATTAATTCAATATTTAAAACGAGAAATTAAAAAAAAAAAAAAGAGAAGGAAAACAGTGTGTGTGTGTGTGTTTTAGTACTTTACTTATCGAAATGATGATACAAATATATGATATATCAATAAGAAAAGAGTTCTATACAACAAGTCAAAATCATTTACATCAATAGACTAAAAATATTTGCTAAGCTCAAAAAACTATACAATGTGTATTATTGGATATAGAACTCCTGTTAAGTGTGTTATGATTTCACTAGGAACAAAATTTGTGTGTATTCATGACTATAATAGTTGTCGTTCGAAGGTGCTTACTAAGTCAAATGTCAAGTTAACTTAGTTGAGTTGTCCTACTATTACTTTATTTTATTCTTTGATTTATGGGTAATCGTTAGTCAAAGGTGTATTGTGGATGAAGCACGCCTTGTGACGGTTGAATGTAGAATATCATAATGAGATAAAGCAATATAGATTGTTCATAATTGATCAACTTAATACGAGAATAGAAAAAAAAAAAAAAACTTTCACTAATAATTGAATTTGAAACTTTGTAATTACCAAGTCAATAACCCCGACTAACTATATTTTATTATAAATCAACTAAAACATGTCCTATTGAAAGATTAGTGAAAAATATTTTTAAAATTGGGAGTATACAGTACTCCGTATTACTCAAAAGAGAAATAGCCTGACCCATTATAATTCAATCTTTCCCAACCTCCATTAAGCAGGCTCTCCATTATACAAAGTATCCCACCTAAAAGCTCTGTTTCTGTCTCTCAACCCCTTCCTGCTTTAAATCTAATGATAAACCCTCTCTTTTAGTATATACTCTCTCTTTCAACAATGGAGGCTTTCAGCTTGCTCAAGTACTGGCGCGGCGGTGGTGGAGGCAACACATTTTCTGCTGCCGACGCCGGATTCTCTTCTCGTTCCACGGACTCCTCTACCGCCGGTGCTACAACTATCGTCACCACCGTTAGTCCTCACTTCACTGACTCGGACTCCGACTTCGATTCCGACACCGAGGACGGCCCCTTCTTTGATTTGGAATTCACCGTTCCGGAAGATGAGGACGGAGACGCCAAAGCTCAAACTGGTGCCGGAGAGAATGAAGATAAGACTGTTGATGCGCAACATTCCGAAATAGACGACGGAGGCGACTCCGATGACTCGGACGATGAGAATGAAGAAGGTGAGTTGAAGTTGACGTTCTCCCCCTCCTCTGCCTCCAACGTTGACCGCTCTGACGCAAACGCTTCGCTCTCGCCTCGTGACGATCTCTTCTTCAAAGGCCGCCTTGTGCCGGTTGAGCATGCGTCGTTGACGCTAACGGCGTCGGAAGCGAACTCCAAGTTTCCGGTGTCTTTCCTGAAATCGGCCACCAAATTCAGAGTTATGATGTTGAAATTGAAGAAGCCGAAAGCAAATGCGCACCGGAGCCCTGAGAAATCGGAGCCGAAATCAAAGCCGTGTCCGAAGCGTAAAGCCTCCAGGAATGAGAAAGACGAGGAGGCTCAAATTCGAGCCGAGAAGAAGTCGTTCACCGTGAAATTGAAGGTTGAAGAAGTGAAAATCAAGTCGCTGTTTACACGAGAGAGTAGTTCAAAAGGCAATAACAATGGCAAGGCCGAGCAGAAGCCGAACACCTTAGAATCACACCTGAACTCGAGTTCATCGTCAGAGGAGAGGAAGTTTCCCAAAGAAACGATTCAAAAATATTTGAAACTGGTGAAGCCTTTGTACATTCGCGTCTCAAAGCGGTACAGCGATAAATTGGGGTTCTCAGGTCACTTGAGCTTTCCCGGAGGCGGAACAGCGGCCGCCGCAACAACTCATTCGCCACCGCCGCAGTCTACGGCGGAAAAAGCGGAAACGGAACCAACGGACTTGTCCGAGAAAGCAGCGGTACTGAACAACGCCAAGAGTCAGAAACAGGGGAACTTACCCGCCGGACTGAGAGTCGTACCGAAAAACCTCATGAAAAGCCGATCGGCGTCCTCAGCAGCAGCGGCGGCGGCGGCGTCCCCGGTGTCGTCATCTCAGCGACGCGACGACTCACTGATCGAGCAACACGATGGAATCCAAGGCGCCATTTTACATTGCAAGAGATCGTTCAACGCTTCCAGAGGTAATTAACTAACCGTAAAAAAAAAAAAATCAAAATTCTTTTACTCCATCCCTTCTCATCATTAACTATTCATTTTCTTAATCTCTGCATACTTCTAGATTCATACTATCGCGATGAGCCAAACCTTTTCTTGTTCTAGGAAGGAAGCCATAGCGCAACAAGGATTAGCAACTAATTAATCAAACACTACTCCGCAGTGGCTAAGATTAGTGTAGAAGATGCAGTATCACTCGCATTTAGAAAAAAAAAAAAAAAAAAAAAAAAAAAAAACGGAAGATGATGGTCTCTTTCAGGCTGCGATTGATGGAAGAGATTCAACGCTAAATTGCATAGGTGAATGAAATTATGAATAGTCTATTATCAGATGTGTTTTGATCTTTGTAAAAAAATTGCTTTTAGTATCTTAGCAGTTTGTAGATTGATGTACCGTGTACCATAGTTGTGTGATCATGATGATGAGTTTGATGACCATCTCCAAGAATTTATCAAAGTCTGCATTCTCATCATTTGTACTATCTTTAGCATTAGCCATCAGAATATCATCCTTGTTGCGAATATGCATTGTGAATATATTATTTAAGTTATAAATTTAACAGAATGGAATAAAATTTTAGTAATACCACATGGAATTTGCTCAGACTGCATCACAAGAAACTGGTCCGACAAAGTATATACAAATTTAAAGAACGCCGTCTTTAGTGGTCAAAAAAGGGGGAAAGTGGGAACAAATTTTTTTGCCTTACTTCTTTTGTGTTCCGCTTTTGTTCTTGGGCTTCCTATTTTTGTTTATATTCGGAATTTGGGCTCTTAAGTTGCTTTTTCTATTCTCAATTCATCTATAATAATATTATTCCAAATTTACCATGGACCATGTTCCACTTTGCATTGTAGACATTGATCTAAAATGACATTTAAATTATGTATATTTAGTTGAATGTATATAATATGTTAACTGTATATATTGCATTGTAGACATTGATCTAAAATGACATTTAAATTATGTATATTTAGTTGAATGTATATAATATGTTAACTGTATATACATAATCTGGAAATGGTCCACCATAAACCATGCGCATGGTGAACATAGTTTAATTGATTTACCAATCTAATCTAAATAATAATAATAATAATAATAATAATAATAAAAGATAATAACTTTACTTTGCTGTGGTTGAACATCAAAACACAATTCAATTGATTGATCAATTCAAACAAGTTAATAACTCCGTATATTTTACTTTGAAACACAGCCCAATGGGTTGATTAATCCAAAAGAGTTGCGAAGTATTAAAATTTCTTTGCTAACATTATACTCCAGAGCACACAATATAGACTAATTTGAATATTTTCTGTATCTTAATTTTAAATATTCACAAAATATTACTCCGTACAATATACGTATGATGAAAAAAGTAACACCACCAATTTAGCATATAACTATTTGAGAATCTACTAGAGAGAGATGTCTCTAAGGCAATGAAGATTCTCAATATCCTGTCTTAATATATTAAACGACATGGTACAGTTCATTTTGAGGGTAGCACTCTTCTTCACTATCCTCAAAAGATTAACCTTACCGTGGATTGTGGTATAAATAGCAACGGGCAACTCGCCCGTGACCAAATCACTTTTCAGCCGTGGCACTTCCAATAATTTCTCCACCATAACATCCACCGTTACGTTCAGTTGCAGCGTCCGTCTAGCCCTGGCATTCCCCGCCGGAATCTTAGCCTCCCCGACCACTTTCCCGTCGTAGAACAAACTCGTCGCCGCTTCGTCGAACTTGAACGACGCCGCGTTTGGGTTTTTCACCGACACCTCCGACACAAGAGTTAGATTATTATTAACACTGGGGTTTAAGTTTCCGGCTCTGAGAAAACTTAGACCCTCAATCGTAATGGTGTTCATCTTTATGGTCGGATCTTTGACGTGGAAAACGGTGGTTGCTAGCACGATTATAGCCACCGCCACGACTAGTAGTACCGCGGTGCAGCAGCCGCAGCACTTGATGCATTTCCCGTGGTGGCGGTGGCGCGTCTTCTTCACCTCCAAGGAAAAGTCATCGTTTTCAACGTCAACGTGGAGGTAGCGGTGGCTGGCCAATGGCCGTACTTGCTCTTTCGCAGCCATGGCCGAGGCCGGAGACGGCGGTGGAGTAGTCATGAGGTTTTGTGATCGATATGGATTATAGTAGTGCAGAATGTGTACGCATTACTGGAATTCTGGCATGTGAATTTACTTATAAATTATGGGGGAAAAAAAAAAAGGAAAAGTATTGGGACGTATAGATAGTATAAACATGGCTTTAAATAGTCATGACCGGAGACAATAAAAAGCATTTGTTAAGTGGACTGGCAGTATTTGGCACGGCACTGAGTCTGAATGTTGAATTGAGTCGTTCAATGTTTTATGTTTATGTACACTAGGAAGTACACAAATAGGTGCGTACAAAAAATTGAGTCATGGAAGTTTCGTTTTTGTCAATTTTTGTGAGTTATCAATTTGTTAAAGATTTTTTGACCATGTCATCTGGAATTTTGGTGACAAACTGACAAGAAGGATGAGTTGCGGAATTTCAAATGTTGTGTATGGAAGAGTTTTCATCCTAGCAGCTATATAGATGTTAGTTTATTTTATTTGGTCTTTGTGACATGATCGGTTTTAGTGATCGGTCAACAAAATCATTTAAATGACGTTAAATACAATGACGATTTGGTCTATTCAGTTTTAAGTGTTACCGAGTAATTTTTTTTTTTTGGTCCTAAACTTATATATGTCATTTCACTTTTACAGGGTGTTTGGTTGCAGAGGGGGAATTACATGGGAAAAGAATTGCAATTCTATGGGAGATAAATTACTGGGAATAAAGTGGAATTTAAATTCTAGTGTTTGGTTTATAGGAATAGAATTAGTGGGAATTTCAATTCCAATGTTTGGTATACATGGGAATTGAAAGAGAATAAGTAGTATAAAGTCCAAAATGTCCACTGTTGTTGTCAGACATTAATTTTAGGTTGAAAAAGCGATGGGTAATTTTGACATATCATTATCTTTTTTTCATCCTAAAATCTCAGGGGTGGGGGAGGGGGGGGGGGGGGGGGAGGGGCACGGGATTTTAATTCCATGAAAATAAGGGAATTGCAATTCCTTTCAACCAAACAATGAAATTTTGTGGCCTTTGGAATTAGGTGGGAATTAAGTGGGAAGGAAATTTAAATTCCCTTCAACCAAACGCCCAGTTAGTTTTTTTTTTTTTTTTTCAAAACATTCCCATTGGTCCTAACATTATTATGACATTATCATTTTTGGTCATCCGTCAACAAATGTGTTTAAATGACATTAAAAAAATGACGTTATTAACCACTCAAAACCCTCATTTGCAGTAGACTTATGTATTGGTAACAATTTTTCTTCATTATGCTATGAATGAATTATGTATTATTTATGCTATCAATGAATAAATGATCAGTGTATATGATTTTTTGAAGATGTTCTTTGTATTGTTCTTTTACCAAGAAGATAAAAGGGGATTTTGAGAATTTTAGCGGTTAATAATGTCAATTTTAATGTCATTTAAATAAATTTGTTGACAGATGACAAAAATGGTCATGTCAAAATAATGTTAGGATCAACGAGGATGTTTTGATAAAAAAAAATAAAAAAATAGACTAAGGCTTTGGCAGAGCTTATAGCTTATTTTAAGCTACTAATAAGCTATAAGCTCTGTTTGGTAATGTTCCCAAAATAAGCTCCTAGCTTAAAGTAAGAGCTTATTTTGGAACACTACCTTAGGTAGCGTTTCAAAATAAACTCCTAGCTTTCTAACTTTTTTTTTTTTTCTATTTTTATCCTAATTATTTTAAAGAAATGACATAATTTATCATTCCCAATTAAAACCATTTTCTGTTCTCCTTTATACGCAACTTTCACTGCAAATATTATTATTATTATTATTATTATTATTATTATTATTATTATTATTAGATTTGCAACAATATTGCTACTTCATTATGAGATGCTAGATCATGATTATGCTAATAGTTTTATTTAAAATGTTATTTTTTTTAAAGACAAAATGTTAAATTTTAATATGTAAACAAACTAATTTAAATTTTATGAAGATGTCCTTTTTAGTCTTTTTACATTTATCAGCTTACCAAAAAGCTAATTTTACCAAACACTTTCAATCATAACAGCTAGCTTAACAACTCTTCAATTTTCAGCTCCGAACTTATAGCTTTTCAGCTTTCAGCTCCTTTTCAGCTTTCAGCTCCTAGCTTATAGCTTTTCAACTAAATTTGCCAAACAGAGCCTAAAAGTGAAATGACAAATATAAATCTAGGACCAAAAAGGAAAAAAGAATTAACACTTTTTTTTTTTTTTTTTTTGAAAACCAAGTATTAACACTTATAACTTAATAGACATAAATGTCAATGCAATTAACTCCTGAAAAAATAGAAAATGTATTTTTTTAGCATTATTATTCATACTATCTACATATAAGGTAAATATTCATTTGTTTAGTAACTTCCAAATTTGAATTGAAATGTTGAACATGTATACATTTATAACATCTTGTTTCTTTTTTTTTTTTCTTTTTTTTTTTTTAAAGTACTATTCAATACCCTACGGGAATTCAAACTTGTGACTTCTCATTTGAGGGAGTAGAGGTGTTATTGAGCTATAAACTACGGATCGTTATGCTGTGCATCCGTATGCACCATGAATGCAAAAATGACGTCGTTTTATTAAAAACGGCATCCCACTTAAAAAAAAATCAGTTTCGATTCCCCTCAACAACATTATGTTGTTCATTCATTCTAGAATTTTAGTTTATAGATTCTGGAATTTTAGTTCATTGATTATGGATATTTAGACGTGAATCGAAACTGATTTTTTTTTCATTCATGCTGGATATTTAGTTCATTCATTATGGATATTTAGTTCATTCATTATAGATTTTTATCTTGATTATATGTGTGTCTGTGCGCGTGTACTTTGTTCCCCTAAAAATTCCCCCCCTCCCCCAACCCCCACTTGAAATCCATCCTAACATGGCTTACATCCCACTAACTTATTATCAAAGACTAGGGGGTGTTTGGTTATTGACTGATCAACCAAGTTTTAGTTGATTTGACAAAGTTTAGCTGTTTGACCCACCAATAAGCTGTTTTAAAGTGTTGGTAAATTGCTGATTGGGCCTATAAGCCAAAAATTGAAAAGCTAATGGATGTATCTTTTTTGAACAGTTGGTTGGAATTAATTGTATATTGACTATTTTATCCTTTGGAATCAATGAAATTTGTTTTTAAATGAGTGGTGGATTTGTCATTTTATAATAATAATAATAATAATAATAATAATAATAATAATAATAATAATTCATTTTATAATAATAATAATAATAATAATAATAATAATTATTATTATTATTATATTAAATCATTTTAAATTATTAAAATTGAAAATAATTAATACTTTTTTTTAAAAATATAATTTAATAAGAGTTTTTTTTTTTTTTTTCTTTTGAAAGTTACTGGCTCTATTACATTGTAGTATCTGTTCATATACTTTCTCAACCTACTAAAACACAAAGAACCAATAACGCCTCCACTAAGGCTCGAACTTATAATCTTCCAAATAGAAGTCCAACCCGGATACCATTGGACCACATAGTCCTGGTAATTTAATAAGAGTTAAATAAACAAAAATAATTAACTTAAGTCCTTAAAAAAGTATAGATGATTTTCAAATTTTATAATTATTTATCAATAAGAGTTTATCATCTTGTTATATTTAATAGTTAAAATAACATAATATATTCATACCTTTAAATATCATTTTACATTCAATCAGCTACTAGTAAACAACTAATTTACCAAATAATTTTTTCTAACAAGCTAAATTGTCATGTTATAAACTAGTTCATTGGTATTTTGGAGCACTCATAGCGTAATCAAATCAACTCGTTGAACGCCAACAACAAAGAGCCCAATACTGAAAAACTGAAAATTAAATAACAATATCAATGGAAAATTGGGCCAAGAAAACTCGGAGAAAGCCCACAGTTCAGTTCAACAATCGTTATACGGTATACCATGGCGCATGTAGCAATGTGCGTCCGGCGCCTCTCAAAACGACATCGTTTTGTTAAGTTGTGTGGGGAGTCGACGCAACAGAATGTATGTGTATTCTGTTATATAATTATGTACACCCGAACATGCGATTTTTTTAACAGTTAAAAGTTTATGTATATTATGTTATACAATTATGTACATTTTGTTATATAATTATGTACATTTTCAAAACATGAGATTTTTTTAAAGAAGTTAACAGCAAACACAGAAAAGCGAAATTTCCAAAAAAAAAAAAAAAGGTACAAAACGACGTCGTTTTTCACCAGGGCGCACAATGCAATGCACGCCCTGGTGCACGATATAAACTGCCTCAGTTCAACGCAAATTATTCTGTAGACCGGGGTCTAAAAATACACAATTTACATACTAAATGTTCACAATTTACCTTTTAATAATTCACAATTTGTGATGACCCTGTATTGTATTTACAAATTCTCAAAACTTAGAAACAAGATTTATATTCTAGATGTTTACAATTCTAATACTAAAAATACACAATTTAGGACTAGGGTCCACCTTGCAAGTGGACACAGGTCCATAGTATAACAACTATCGGTTCAATTGTTATACCATGGAACGGGGTCCACATTATATTGTGTATCTTGATCCAAAACGATATTCAGATTATGTAAATGTCGTTAATATATTATGTACATTTAGTTAATAAATTGTGTCTACTACAATTAACAACATATTATATATATATATATATATATATATATATATATATATATATATATATATATATATATATATATATATATATATATAGAATCCGGATCAGGTGAGGACCTAATCTTAGGTGAGGACTAATCTTGTGCGTTTGTTTTTTTATTTGGATGGTTCAGATTTGAGTTCTTGAGATGACATGGATTGATCTTTTTTGTTAAAGTGGGATAATAGTGTCTTTTTCTATTTTTTTAAAGTGTGAACGCATGTATAATCCTTGGCCAAATTGGTTTCCTATTTTCTTGGATCATCACCGTTGCAATT